TGCACCACGAAGAAATACACAGTCCTCTCTCTTTAATGAGAAAACTTTAGTGTGTCACAACACCTTGAAATTAAAAAGATATTTGTACAGAAAAAAATATAATTGGTAGTTGGTCCTATATAGCCAAATTATGGCTCTAATTCAATCAGTAAATTGCCATATGCTGTGTTCTAAGCAGTCAGCCAGTTCCCTACCACGATTCTCCAGAAATAACTGTGCTTTGCAATTGTTCAGCTGGGCATTTAAATTGTTCCATAAAGGTCTGGTGCCATCCATTTGGTGTAAAAGGACATCACATCATCATGGTCCTTGCAAATTCATCCAGTTTTTATTTTTGAGACCAAATGTTGAAAAAGAATAGCAAACACGGTCACAAAACTCGGAAAATGTGAACAACTGCAAAGTACCATTGTAGATACCTGTAGGACGCACTAATGGAACTGAAAGAAAAGTCACACATCTCCAGGTTTGCTCCCCAATTTACTCATTTTAAGACAAAGTTCTATAATACATATCAAATCCACTCAAACTATTAGGCAACATCAACTTTCTAGTCTAAAACTGGGATCAATATTCATTCCTTGCCCACACAGAAGTGCTTAGCGATGCATCAGGAAACAGACACCTTTTCTTTGACTGAATGTCCTCTTCTCTTGAGGATTTTAAAAAAATTCCCTCCCAATCCCCAGCTTCAACGTTCTCTTTTTGAGATGTTTATATCCCAGGAGGCCTAAAGCAAGACTTGACTAAGAGACATGTAAGTATTAACTGATAGTCATTCATCTGTTTTATGTTAGACTGTAGTCAAAAGATGAGAATAGCCTTAAAACCAGGGACCAGGATCTGAGTCTTCTACTCCTGCCAGTGGCCGGAGCACAGGTACAAAGTCCCTGTTCCTCTTGGCCTTCTCCAGAGCGTGCTCCGACACGTGGTCAGCTGCCAAAGCGCTCAGGACCCACAGCACAAGTGGAGAGACCTTCTCCCTGCGCCTGGGAGACCTTCTTCAGATGTGGCAAAGTGGTGGCCTTTGGCCACCTCCCAGGGAATGGTTGAAGCCCAGGACAAAGGTGGACACCAACAATATTGGAGACACACAACTCTCCTCACGGGTTTCTTACATGAGGCAGAGCCCAGCTTCAATGCTTTGCCTTGCTCACCCAACCCACTCACAACCCCTTGCAGTCACTGAGAATGACTGTGAGAGTGACAGTGTCAAACCAGGCAATAAACAGCACTTCGCATTGTACTCTGAGGTCTTCAGAGGAACCTGCATCTCCAAAGAGCTGTTATCAGTTATAATACTGGGCCAGCTGAAAAGGACCTCTGCTGTAGATCAAGTGTCTCTGTGGAGACTCCAATCACTTTCTTCTGTGGTTTTGTTTTCTTTTAAACAAGTATCAGATTTTGATACTTCAACTGAAATATATATATATATTAAAAAAGTATTTTATCAGCATTTAAAAGTAAAAATATCCCAGTGAAAGGAAATAAATTAAAAGCTTTCTCCTTTCCAAACACACAGAAAACAAAATTCTTCTCAAATACTGTAATTTTCACAACACAGTTCAACAATATTCTCTCTCTACCTAGTTGCTGAATATGTGACTGAAGAGTACAGTAAGAACTCAGGAACATCTGGCTGGATTAATTAAATCCCTGTTTTTCATAAGGAGAATTTATTCTTACATACTTCAAATTTCAAATATCCCAGTATCAAATCCTCTCAGTCACAGTACGAACTTTGTAGCATATTTCAACAGCACAGTCCTCTGAACTCTGCAAAAATAATTCAGCTCATGTACTGTATGTATGTACACATCACTGTATCTGATCGGTCTATACCATATAGACTCAGCATATTGGCCTATTTGTATATTTGCAAATGTAAAATGTATCCTCTTTGGAACTGCTGTGGTCACAGAAGCATATAAGGAGCCTTAGATTTGGCCTATTTGCAAAAACTCAAGAAAGTCATGCCAAGGCAAAGCAGAAGACCATTCTCCTCTTCAGGTCTAGTGAATAGGATTGTTTTTATAGAACAAAAGAACAAAGCATAAATATTTAATTCTCATGACATGTAAACACTGTATTGTTTTCCTGTTGGTTGGGATAATGCTCCTGTTCACGTTTTTATTTGCTATCCAAGTAGACTAAGAGAAGTACAACTTGCCACCTCTGCACTTGAGACGGTGAAGATGAGACAGGTATTTTTCAGTTTTAGCAAGCGTGGGAACACTCTGGGTCAAGGAAGAAGCACATGTGCATTATTTTTCTCATAAAGTCAGGTCACAGAGTGTAGTTCAGCTGTTCACTGGGACAAAAACCCATTATTTCAAGACTTTAAATTAGTAACACAATTTTTAAAACTAATTTTATTCTTATGGTATTATTTTATAAATAGCATGAATTATTATTTAATTGTTTCAACCCAAGATTTTAATTTTGCACCTATCAGTATGGGAAATCTCTTGGCAGCTCTGGAGGCTGTGTGAAAATTAAATTTTTTGTTTAATTATAAATTGGTTTTGCTGTAATAATGGAAGCTTTAATTGAATTATTTTAATTAAGTGCTTGAAGCAACACAATGCCGGCTTTTTGCTGGAGACCAGCTTATCTAACAGCCTGGAGTTTCACATTTACTCAGCTCCTGTGCTGAACATAGAGACTGCTATACAACCAAATGTAACTGCTGCTTCTACCTAGCTAATGGCATGTAAAAGGACGAACAGAGAGTACATTCAACTACACACCTTAGACCATGTTAATAATCTGGGCAGTAAAAAAGGGTGGTTAGGATCATTTAAAAATAATTTTTAAACAGTGAGTGAAAGAAAAGTAATAGTTGTAGCATCTTGTTCAAAATGTACTGCCATCTCCACAGACAGACTTCCTGCCTTCTGGCAACCCTCCCAGGAGGAACGAGTGGCAGACAGGGCTATCAGATTGCTCTCTGATGGACGGCCAGACTATGGCAAAGCATAGGCTCCAGCAGAGAATGTGGTTCTCTTCTTCTCCAGACAGGATATCAAAATGGAAAGCACTTGGAGGGTTCATAAATAGCAGTATCAACACAATTAACATTTCAGGAGTGTGGGGAAGGGAGAAGGGTTGATTGCTTTTTAATGGATTAATTTCCACATTTGAACATTTCAGAAACAACACAATCTGTCTCTGCGGCCCTCCTGATAATATCAACAGATAACAGAATAGGACCTAGAAGTACAGAGGAAACTGAAAACAGCAGCAGCAGAATTTCATACTTGTAGAACGCTATTTATCCAAAAACTCTGAAACTTTCTGGAAACATGGGCAAGAATAGCAGAACAGTAACGCTGATCACCTGCACCAAACCTATCTGCAAATATCTGCATGGCTGCTTTGAGAACTAGGCTATAAAACAGTTTATCTGTTAACATTGCTTTGTGTAAAAAACCCAAGCCATCTAAGTTTTCAAGCACTAACAACTATGGAAACTGCCTCTGCAATATAACAAATGAGATAAAAAAAAAATTAGTACTTCATTGCAGATGACACCAAAAGAGTTACTTGCAAGGAAACCACATGAGAACCAGAAGAGGCAGGGAAGTAGTTACAAGTGAAAGATATTGAAATATATGCCAGGGTTAACAAGATCTGTTAAGATCTTTCCATGCATTGCAACAACAGGAAGATACTGTCATTAAAAAAAAAACAAAACAACCCTCTTCCTTTCTACTTAACAGTGCCCTCATTGATCAAACAACCTGAGATGGAACAACAGATAATTACAACAAGGTTCCACTGTATTTGACAGTAGATTAATTAAATTACAGAAGAACATACTGATTCACACAACGTATCTTGCCTCCAGCAGGAAACACTTAGGAAGAAAAAGGAGAAGGACAAGCACTTAGTGCAATTATGCAAAGGAGACAGACAAAATGTCATTTCAGAAAACAAGTAATGGCTGGGTCAAGTAACTAGGTAGAGTAACACTTCAAAATGTAAGGGTGGAGCACTGCAGGGTGTCTCTTGCCCTATTTCACTCATATTCCTGTTCTGTACTGGCTAGTACAATTTGTTCTGACTGTCTGAAGGAGAAAAGCCTGCCTACTAACCTTAGGAGCCAAGGAAGAGACATTAAAAGGAAATGTGTAGGTCTGGGCTTCAAAACCCACCTTCTCCAATTTCCCCTTCTTCCATCTAAAGTGCGTAACAAAGCTGTTATGAAATCGCATGTTGTAGTGGTAAAACCCCATTTTGTTCTTTTAAAATGTCTGAGTCAAGAACATGGCCAAAATCATGCCTGAAAGCTGAAGAGGCTTGTCAGAGTTTGCAGGATAAAAATTTCAGGAAAATTAAGAAATTCTCAGCTGGTAGAGATCACTTTAGCTCCTTTAATCTACATTGCTATGCTGATCCACACCAGCTGAAAAGCTGAACCTTCTTTTGTGTTGCGCTATTTTTAAGTAGCTAAACTTCAGCCTTGAGTACAATTGTCCAACCCTATGACACGGTCCTGAAAGACAAGTACAGTGCAAGTAAAAGATGTGTCATCACCAACATGTCCCAGTCACTCACCGAATCCTTCTCGCGCCCATCAACTCTTATTAGTGCTATTAAATTACCTACAGCTGTTCCTGAGTCTCTGCTGGGAGCTACAATGATACACAGCAAACCCCCCAAAAGTGGAAGCCTTTCAGCTTTTAACATTCCCTCCTGTTCAGACCACTTATGCCACCTGCATTTTCTATTAATCACCCTGGTGGCCTGTAACATTATCAGTCTGTGAGTGCAAGCCATAACCCCGGCTTCTGTGTCGCATGTTACCCAATCTCTTCTTCCACCACTTAATCTCCCCAAGAAAGTGAACTGTAGTATCTCTTCCCATCAAGAAATTTTCTTGTCTCCTTGCTGAGAAAAAATTCTCCAGTAGCACCTAGATTACTAACTCATACAAACCCAAGCTTTAAGAACAAAACTGGGTCTGTCAGATGGTTGATGTCATCTCTGACACTCACCAGGGTGACAATGGCACATTCAGCAGTCAGTTGAGCAGCACTGAACAACGTCCGAACAAAGCGGTAAATCTGTTTCTGCTCCGGGTCATGTTTGTCATAGTCTGGTGGCACTTCGGATTTCTAAGGAAGAAATACTTCCAAATAGGTGACTGAAACAAAACGAAGCAGACAGAAAGAAAGATAGTTCACATGAAAGGGAAGAAGAGGCAGATGAACTTACCGAAAGGGGATGAAGGTTTTCATCAAAAATATCTAAGAGCATTCTTCCGTCTGTGTCCCTAAAAAGTATTAAAACCAAAGTAGTGTCATTATCTGAATATGACAGCAGGCAGCTCTCATAGACAGACACAAGTGAATCGTTACAACTCCAATACTCCTCATGCTGTGGGGTGCTTGGAAATGCTGCAGAAACATGATGTTCAAATATCAGTTGGACCTATTCTGTCATAAGGTTCAGATGTAATATGAAATCCATATTACAAAGTACACTAAAATTTTTAGCTTTCAATGCCCAAGATATACAGCTTTTGTGTTCTCTACTGTGAGGCTTCTTCACAGCTTAACAATTACTACTATAAACTTATAATAAATTCAGCCTGGCTTACTCTCCTTTTCTTAACTTCATCATATTAATCCTTGCAATCTCGTAATTCCTCCTCTTCCTTTATTGTCAACATCATGAACATTTACAAATATGCAACATTATTTTTACAGTTATCCTTTAGTTATGAGAGACATACTTCACTTTTTATTTATTTGTAAAACCCTATCTACTAATGATTTCTGAAAACACAAACAAGTACATACAAAAAAAAAAAAGCCAGACAAAATTATATTCCTAATCATTGGTTTTATTTGCTATTTCTCCCTCAGATCCCTGTTGCTCAAGATCAGCACGCAAGTTGATGTAACTTCACAAGCCTAACCTCCGGTATGCAATATAAGGTTTTTGCTGTGTGTAATCTTGGCAGGAACACTAACAATCACAAAAGCGAGTGGTATAACAATACCAGTTAGAACTGGACACTTTCTGGACATACGCATCCATGTGACCCACTTATTACAATCCCATCTTTATTTATAGCATCCCTGGTACTCTGGTCATAGAGTTCTTAAGAGAGAAAACACTGAATACGTTTTCTATCTTTACTCAGCAGCACGTGTGTCTCAGAGCAGGCAAACACGAGTTTTACAGCAGATTCAAGTCTACAAAATGTACTTACTAGCAGCTAACATTTAAACCTCAACATCTGAAGGTGACATTTTTTCTGCTATAAAGGCTGCTAACACTGTAAATAAAGACTTTTTTTTAAAAAAAGTACGTAAATTAAAACAAAAATCAGATTTGAGGTAATTACTAGAAAATTCCTAATCAGCAAGGATTTTAGGCCAGACTCTTTCACCCCTACATAAAATGGCTAGTATCTTAGTGCAGCAGTCTCACTAAAATTCACTGATGCGCTACATTAAACTGTGGCCCTCCACAAGGAAAAGAGAGAAAGAAAGAATTTCCTATTTTATTTCTTCATGCTGTAGCTGCTGTAGCTGTTATGAAGGCACAATGTGATTGCCCTCAAAAAAATCTATTATGCACACACACAAAAAAAGAGCTGATAGGTTTTCATCTTCATTAGTACAAATTCACATTGTTATCTTTCAAAAATGAACCATCTACTAATTGATCTCAGCATTTTTTCATGGTTAGTTTGTAGGGGTTTATTTTATTTTGTTTGTTTACTTAGCAAATTCACCAATACTTATGCATTCCTCTGAAAACAAGATAGGTGTAGTCTTTTACTAAGCACAACAAAAGCTGCAGTAAGCCAATCAATGTAACAATGCTCAGAGACTCTGCAAAAAGAAGAGATGATAACTAGAATGTTACAATTGAAAGAAATGTGAGAAATATAAGAAGGAACAGTCTATTTCATGCATAGTTTCTCAAAAATCTGGGCCTGGTGATGGTTTGGAATATTGGGAAGTAATTTAGTTTTAAGCCTACTATGCAGAAAAAAAAGGAACAACTAAATACTGACTGAAAAGAATTCTTCTCTGGCAGAGCAGTGTTTGACTCATTTTCTGTCAAAATCAGCCTGGAGTCTGTGTAAGAGTTACAGTGGCTTCTTACTCCCCACACCCCATAACGAACCAAAATCTAGCACATACATCAACAACTTCCTTTTCACCTATAATGGCCGGAAACAGAACATACGTTTTGCTATTGCTGTTTCAGCAGTAAGTACAACTGAATGCTGTTACCACGTTGTCCCTCCGTTCCTAAACCAGAGACAACTGAAGACAGAACAGTCACTTCACATCCTTCATTTCAGAGTTATTTGATGTACACGAGCCTGCTCCAGCACCACTGCCGAGCCCACCTGCCCTGAGCGTGGCAGAGGGTGCGTGTACCCACCCCACCCCCAGCAGCTGCAGGAAGGAGAAGCGGCAACCAGTTCTTCCTCAATAAATCACCTCTCCATCCCAAAAGCGAAAGGACAGATAGCAAGTTTCCCAAGACAATAACATTCAGAATGCATCTGTTTTCAAAACACTGACATGGGACTTTTCAGTTTCTAAAAGCTTAGCCTCTCTGTCTAGTAGTTGTAGGACAGATTTGCATCAAGTTCTGTAACAGCACAAACAGGCATAATTTACTGCAGACAGGAATCAGCTCCATGGCAATCAGCACAAAGCAAGTCTGGAGTACTTTGGCTCTGGATTGCTTTGGCTCTGGAGTCCGCCTGCTCGACTGTGAACTCTTACTGAAGTTTCTCACTCTTTGTAGTCCCAAATGTGCCCCATTCTCCTAAGCCTTTTACTCAACTGATATGATACTTCACAGAGCACTTAAGAATAACTTATTTCCACAAATCTTTAGAGTCTGATTATCTTTGATATCTCTATTATTTATTTAGTGAAGCATAGTAAAAATTGAGTAGCTAGCCAAACTAACTCAGGGACAATGGAGGATAGGGGGGAAAAGGGAACCACAGATGGATAAACAAGTAATCCAAGCATGATCACTAATGCCTGATTTCCTGGGAAATGAGATCATAAGTTTGCAGAAAGATTTCACTCCAATTTTTGCTTTATATATTGTCATGTTTCAGTCCAAGGCCCACTGACGTCTTGCAAAGTCTTCTAAGAGCTTTCAGCAGGGATCAAGCCCTAAGCCTTTCTGCCCTCATGCACTTCTAAAGATTCCTCTTTAGATGTCAGCCTTGTTTCAAGAAGGGTGATGGGTTCCAGTGACCTGAAACATGGTCCCGAATGACATACTAGCTTAACTTTAAACTTATGAGTAATTCCTTTTGTTCTATTTGGACTTCTTACAGTCCAGAAGAAAAAACATGTAAGTGGCTTGTTAGATTGAAATTTAAGCCAAGTTCTCTGGAAAGACACATTGAAAAGCCATGGACACAGAAGTCACTTGAAGTATACAATCTCTCTTGAAATGCCAGGAAATATTATTTGTGACACGTCACGAGGACAGGGAATTTAAGATACAAAAGCACAATTCATCATGAAGAAAGTTAATTTATGTACCAAGTTATTTTTCAGAGAACCTGTTTTCTATTCAATTTCAATCAACTTCACTGAACAGAGATCTAAACCATATTACACCAGAAGAGATAAGCCAGGACCTGCCCTGTTTCTGAGCCATCTTGAATTACATCTATTCACAGTGTTACTCTTACTGTATAATTAATGTTTTTTATTTCAAAATCCATTAACAGTAAGTGATCATTGATTTACACAGTTAACTTTACAAAGGTGTAGCTAAAAAATATAGATCTGAAAGACACTATTTAGATTTCTCCATATGTAACTGCAACATATGCAACAATGCAGAAGTGCCCAGCGCACATAAAACCGAACACGGAATTGTTAAAATTTTTCAACGCTAAACTATATTTCCAGATTTATGATATGTAATCCTCTAATTTTAATTTTTCTAAGAAAAATAATACATACAAAACCACAAAAGAACGTGTTTCTCATTTCTAGTATGGGAAATACAAAAATTACTACCCAAAAACATTTTGAAAGAAACAGAGCATGTATTGGGCAGTTTGGGTTTGGGCAGTTCATTTGTTCTGATTAAAGATATCTTCAGTACAAGATTTCATTATTCACATACCTGTTTTTGATGTGGTAATATATTGCAAGAGCTACACTGTAAAGAAAAATACAGAGTTAATATTTCAGGATTCTCAAATTATATTGTCATATTAACTTGCACATTTAAAACCTAGCACAATGCATGACAAAGTTAGCTTAACAGCCTATTTTCCTCTGTTCACAGTTAGATACAGGAAAACTGCTGTAAACAGACAATTTTAAAGTATTTGTTCAGCACACTCTGAGCTCCTCCTTTTCACTAGAATTGAAGTACCTTACAAAAATACTCATATTCCACATACCAAGTTGCACATACCTTCCATTTAATGCCCTACTCCACAATAAAACTCCTACTGACTTCCACGGTTGAAGATAAAGCATCACAGCCATCGGACATTCTCTTTTATTGTTTGCTGATGCTGCCAGGCTAACATGAAATGTTTTAATCACTGTTGGCTTATGATTTTATATTTAAGTCCATTAACTTCTGGCTGTCTTTCTATGTAGTTACTCACACACCAGACTCAAATACCAGGCCTCTACAGTTTTATGGTATCAAGTTACTTATTTTAACTCAGGAAAGACAACTCCCTGAATAACTTAGTGCATTATGCATTTCCCATGTTCTCAGTCACACATCAAAGTACCTCTGTTTATATTCTGTGCAAAGACAAAAAGTGTCCTTATATTCACAGACAGCTAAGATTTTAATTACATATATCACTAACTGATCTCATTCACATTTGAGACTGAAGAAAATTAAGACATGGCTTCGCATGGTTATTCTCCAGTTTCCAACTCATGACTCCAGCTCTATTGAAGGGACACATGCTTTACTCATGATAGAGCTTTACTGAAGGATAAAGCAGCACCAGCACCCTCTCTACTTGCTTCAGCAGCGTAAAACCCAGTCAAAGCTAAAACGGGAAGGAGGGAGTTTACTGATTCTATTTGTTGACAATTTGTCAGTGATTCACTGTAAGATGCTTATGTCTTATACTGATGCGAAATTACCATTTTTCTTTTTTCCACAAAAGGCCCTTTAAGAGTCCATTGGTTGTCTCTGTAATTTTATTCCAGAATTTTCACACAAAAACTGACATACTGTGTGTTAGGAAAACAGTATGTTGGAGCTACCCCATTAGTAGAACTTTAAATTATTTCAGGTTGGTTGGTTTGTTTGTTTTTTTGAACAGCCATGTTCAAGGTATTTTTTCTTACTTGAAACTAAATATATTTTACTAACTTTGTATGAACATCATAGCTTTTACCTGGCTGAATTAATAGTTTTTAGAACATGAATGCTTTTTAAAGTTTGTTTTGTTTTGTTTTGTTTTTCCTGCAGATGCATATTTAAGGAATTAAGAGATACAGTGTACCATGGACACAGAGGACACTGTGTACAAAGGACACAGTCCCCAATGAACACAGAAAACACACTTATGAATGAATTTAATTTGACTGGAAGCTATTCACAAAATGAGTTAGTCCTAAAATTTATTTTTAAATTATGCCCCTAGGAACACACTTGCAGCTCCAGTTCACTTTATGAAAGCAGATGCAAGAATCTATGTGCAGAGCTCTGCTTGGTGCCCATATGGTTGCTTTTGTAACAAAATGTCAAATTAAGTTTAGAAAATATTTACTATTTAGAAATCCATATCAGAATCTGAAAGTCTTTCAGAGCTGTAACAGATTAACTCAGATTCAAGTTTCATTCTGCTTTTCATACGCTGGTTCAGCTGGCACTCAGTGTGCAGGGAAGAAGCTTATGAGCTTTCCATCACCCTACCCTGGCCACCCCATCGATGTTGCAGATCTCCAGCAGATGGGCTAATATTTTAAACACACCTGTGTGTAGCATAACCCAGAAGAAATAAATGAACCAGGCAAATACATCCTTCATAGATTTACCTACGTGTAATAGTCATTTATCTGCAGAGACTGCCAGAAACGAAGTTGTACTACAAAAGCAGTAATACTGCAATCTCCCCACCCTGAAATCTGTTAAATGCACAGCCAGACAGGAGAGAAGAGGACGAAATGTCTCCTCACCCAGAGGCCTCATGTGCCGGAGTCCAGTTTCTCACCCCACATAACCCCTTTTCAAACCCTCTGACCCCTGGCAGCTTCCAGCCCTTCCAGGCCAGCAGCGTGGCCCCAGCCCTGCACGACTCCCCCCGCCTGGGCCCAGCGCCGGCTCTTCTGCCCAGACACGTGCCCTCTCCTCCTGCAGCTCTGCCCCCAGCCACACACCCCAGGTCTCTCCCAAACATCATCACCTTGCTCCCCTCCAACTTGTCTTTCACAAAGCTGCTGCTGGCCACCGTGGCCCACCAAAAACACTTCTGAGCTGCTGCAGACAACTGAACCCATCGCTTCTTTTCACGAGCAGTCCCAGTTCTGATGCAAAAAGGGACCCAAAATGCACCCAAAAGGCTGCACTTACAAAAACCTGCACACAAAGGATTTTAGAGCAGAAGAGTATGAGATTCCAGGAGGTAAAAAAACCCTCAAAAACAAAAAAACCTTTTTCCAGCATTCAGCTGAATTATTTTTAAGTTACTAATTAAAGAAACTTGAGGAAAAGCAAGACTATGTTTCAGGCAGAAACAGCTGATAAGGAATTCAGTGTCAGTCTGACTTCAAATCCCTTCTCCACTCCTCTCTTTTTTTCTTTTTAAAAAAAAAAAAAAAAATAAGAACAAGTTTTAGTCACCACCAACATTACTATCTCCTTTGGATATGTTAGTCTAAATACATTTGTCTCTCAGGTAAGTATCTCTGTAGCATAGATTTTGTCTTAATAAATTTTCGCATACAAGTACACCAAGGTAGCCATCCTACAAACAAATCAGGACAGTATTATCAGCATCATAATAAACAAACAGCATAAAATGCCTGAGCATTTGTTCTCTAATTTTTTTCCCTTACTGTACAAAATGTAAAGAACACTACAACTATCAATTTCATTTCTCTCCAAATGTAAAAAGGTGAAACGTGAAATGATCATCTGAGACGTCACCTGAAGTAAAAGCCCATGTGTGCACCACATACAAAAGCTCCCCACTGCTCTGTAATAAACTGCCAGTACCCTTGTACTCCATAAGGAAATTAATCTGAAGGCAACTAATTTCCATTTAAAACAGAAAACTGGAAGGAAAGCTTAGCAAATGAGCATTTTCTCATGAACAGAAAAGAGCTCTTCAATTTCAGATAATTCTGAAATTCTAAATAAGTTAGTTTTGAAGATTCATCCAAAGCAAGCACCCAGTTGAACACTGAAGCACAAGGATTTCAGCTGCTGGAATCTGAGATCCTTAATTCCTGCTTTCTGTTGAGATGTGCAGTATTGAGGGGTTGATTCTACAGAGACCTGAAATATGAGTAATATCCTTTAATCATCCTATTAACTGCCTCTGGAGCATGACTGTATCAAATAAATTTACTACTTCAAAAATGAACACCTTTGAGATGCTTGCTTAGTAATGATTCAGAAACATGCATATGTAAATACATATATATACACCGTACAATCTAGCAAAAAAAAAAAATATTATAAAACCCACCATTTGATGGTATACTTGAGGTTCGGTTGACTGACTGTGCTGTCATCCAGGAAAATAGTGGAGCAGGAACTGTACTTCCTTCTCAACTGCCCAGGAGGATGCTATGAAAAACATGCAAAAGAACAATGGCAATTATGTAATACCAAAGAATTTTTCTGAGGAGATGCAAGACTTTAGAAAAAAATTAATTTCTCTGTCTCTCACAATGACGCACACAGTTATGTGATCATGTTTTGAAGCAGTTCAGAAAGTTCAGAAATAATTACCACTACAAAAGTCACAACAATCCCTGCCTTAGCCTTGACTAATGCTTTCAAGTCCCAGTCTTCCCTCCATCCCTCCTTCCCCAAAACCATGCAAAAATTTTTGTGCAGATTTACTCAAATACATACATACATTTGGAAAGCAAAGATGAACAAGACCTATGTTTCTGTCCTCGTTCCAAAAGAGTAAGTGGAAGAGTCAAAAAGAAATCGTGTTAACAATGAAGACTGATTTAGAAACAGATACAAAACCATGCTTGCAGAAGAGATAATTAAAAAAATATCCAACAAAGAAATGCTACCAGAATGAAGTAGGGGAAGAGGTCTTTATAGTAAACTACTAAAACCTCTCAAAGTCAATAGGGAAAATTTAGAAAAATTAATTCATCCAGAATAGATTGTTATTAGACAGGAAGAAAATTGATCAAAGGATGTAAGAGAAAGTGGATATGCAAATAAAAAAGAAACACATCTCTTAACAGAATAAGTTTTCAACAGATTTCAATCCTATTTCTGCACTACTATAGGAAAACATTGGAAAACTCAGCCACAAAATGACATTTGACAACACTAATTTCTGAAGATTTTTTGTTGAGAGGGCTTCTCCTTCAGCTGTTTAGAGGAGCCAGCACTCCACTGGTCTAAAGAGAATAGTTTCATCATATCAGCTAATAGCTGTCACAGTCATTAATGCCCTCTGATTTTTAACCTTGCTTATTCTACCTACACTAGTGAATAACTTGACCAAGAACCTGCGTTAGGGAAGTTAAGACCAGTCAAATTACATGTTTAACTTACAACAGAATAGGTTTAAAGTTCAGTTGGCACATCGACATGGAAATTTTAATTTGCATTATAATAAATGTTGTTTCCAGCATTTCAGCTGAGAGACCCATGTCAATACCATCAGTGGAATCCACAGACATTTACCAGCTCAGAGCAACCAAGTATCTAGGCTGTGGCCTCCAAGTATCTAGGCTGTGACTCCTAATTTCCAAAACAGGTATTTTGAATGCCAGCACTCCATCATCTCACTATCGTTTCATTTTCCATAGGCAGCAGGCTTCTTAGCAGCAACCATCAGATAGTGAACAGATAGACTCCTGGTAAAACCTACATGCATCTGAGTCATCTTTCTATTTTTTCCCAGCTATGAGTGAGAGTGCATTAGAAGTCTTGTGTTAATTGAAAAAAAAAAAAATGTCTGAAGCTGTTACAATTGTAGAAGAATTGTGTTCAAATTATTTGAAAGCTCACCAACAAATTCTATCAAGGTCCCTCACTTGACCAATACAATCATGAGCTGAACTGCTTTTCTTGGAAGTGAAAAGGTTTACTGAGAAAATTAATATTATCCCCCTCCCGCCCCGTCCCCGCCCCCGAAAATTCTCCAGGAGTTTGGAAAGGTACTTCGTAATACTTTGGAAGCTCATAATCCATCTACCTTCCAAGCTATTATACATTAAGCAAGGCAACAAACAGAAAATTTAGAAACACTGGAAGCATTACTGCCCTGAAATGTATTATCTACCACTGATGTACACAGAGAGAATTACTCGTGGACTGGTGATTCACAGCTTTTATTCTACCACAGTTCAGTTAAAATTTCTGGATTAGTCTGTTGAGTACCTTCCACAGGCATGATACAGGCAAAGTAACTTAAAACCAGCTAAAAATGAGGCTATTTAGTGGCTGAAAAAAAAAGGAAGAGGTACAGACATTTCAGCATAATTTTAAAAAAAAGTACATGGAAAGTTTTAATTCTACATTTTAGGTGTCAACATGTTTCGAAGGTCTAGATAAAACTGAAGAGAAATGGACTGGATTCATCCAAGGCAAGCATGAGTAAAAATCAAAACAACTCTGGAGCAACACCACTGTCAGATTTACATTTTCTTATGTAAACAGCACTCTCAACATTTGATACATGTCAATAATTACAGCCATGCACCTTATTTCTGAAACTACCACATCACAGAACTCTCCACGGTTTACAGCCCACATCACACTTTGTTAGGCTTAGAACTTTTCACACTTCAGAAAAGTATGTGGTGGCTTATGCCTCACTTTCTGTTCAGAACAAGTTGGCAGAAACGGGTACCTCTCCCAGTCTGAAGAATGGTGCCAAGTGTAAACCTACTATCTTGGGCATACATACAGATCTGTGCCATGTGAATAACTAACCTATCGGTAGATCAACATTCCCAGCTTCTACTCTGACATCCAACTGCAGCCATATGGTACGCCAGGTAACAGACTTTCTGCCTTTTCCAAATTACTGGAAAACACTCTTGGTTTCATATTCTAGCTTGACGAAGCTGGAAGACGTCTAAAGTCCCACAGTTCAAATAGGCTTTTCTGAACGTCCATAAAATGCTGCAGAGGAACCTTCTCCATCCTTGCAGAGGACAAAAGAGGTTACTGAGCACCATTTCAGTATTCAGCACTGTCCTACAGAGAAACCCCCTTCTTCAAGGAAGGATGTGTACACCTGAAATGGTACAGGAGCTTAATGCCTTCACATTTCAAATGCATCTTGGCTGACCACAAAAATCTTCCATTTAGACAAGTCATAGAGGCTCTAAGCATGACAAAAACAGAAGAGCTGAGAAAGCATACATAGAGCCTTTGAAGAAATTAGCCAAACCTTCTAACATTAATGGGCTCCTTCTCAAGTTCTGTCCCACCATTAAGGCTGACACGATCATATAGCTCCTTTTGTAAATCTTCATATGCAAACATGACAGTGAACATAGGACATGTGGAGCCTTGACAATCTCTGATATTACAAATATTTACAAATTAAAAGTATCTCATTGATATGAAGTGGGGTTTACTTCATATGTACTTTAACTTGCAGTAGTGATACTTTTGTATCCAAGCTGAGATTCAGTAGATGTCATACTTCTCAACTTCAGCAAGACTTCTGACTTCATCTCGCACAAAATTCTCAAAGGATGAAACAAGGAAAACACAGCAGGGGAAAACTACTTGGAAAACTATACTCTGGTTACCCAGGGATCACTTTCAAATTGGAAGGTTGAAGTAAGGGACATTCCACAGAAGTCTGGCCTACTCAACATAAAATACTGAGCAGTAACTTTGATAACAGAATCAAGGTATTTTTTTACTGAATTTGCAGCTGGCATTAACTTGCAGAGGACTCTCTTATAAAAAAAAGGAGAACACTGTATGGGATTTAAGGAGTTACCATGTATACAAGGGTAGAGCACGCTTCCCCTTTGCTCAGCTGGAATTTTATGTCCACTTTTGACCACTGTATTTCAAGAAAGATTAATTGATTTCAGAGAGTCAGGAAGAGAAAGCAGCAAGATTAGTCAGAGGTTTGAAAAACCTGATTTAGAAGGAAAAATTGAAAGACTGGAGGGGTTCTCTCCAGCAACAAAACAACAATTAAGTCATGTTGAAGGGAGTTCCAAAGAAGCAAATGTTCTCCGTGACCACTGTAGATGGGATACAAAAGAGCAGGCTTATATTGAACTAGGGAAAATTAAGATTGGACATGAAAGTGTGAGAGGAGGCAAAAAACCCCACCCCAAACCACCACCTTTTTCTAATAGCAGAGATAGCTTGAGTGACTTGAGCAGCGATAGAATCTTCATCACTGGGAGACTAAAGAAGAGGTAAAACGAAAATATGTCAGGAACAGCTTAGACATGGGATTCTGCTATTAGGCAAGAAACTAGACTGAACAACCTCTTGAGATGAATTCTGAACCAATTTCCTACTACTTGGTGATTTCTTTTTGTGAAGATTTGTAGCTCTTTACTCCAGAAGCAGTTGTTATTTTTCTCATTTCAACCGAAGATGTTCATTAAGAAATGTAGACATTACAGGTTATAATGAATACATAATAGCAGTTTTGTGGAATGTCTTTCTGTACAGGAAAAGATGTATAATAGAAAAATTTGCTTTATAACTTGCTAAGCTTTCACATGTGTACAGAACAAGGTCTAAGACATCAAGATTCAATGTACTTTCATTAATGCCAGGTGTTTCAAGCTCTTAAAAACAGCAGGTTTCCCCTCTTGCACGGCTAGTACTAAGGGAATATCACTGCTTTATTTTTCTCCCAGTTTCATCCTGAAATCTTCCAACTTTGCAAATCATGTTTGTTTTAAGATGTTTGAACAACAGAATTTACTTGAAGTTTACATAAAACACATTCTATCAGAAGTAGAATGGCTTAGTTTGCCATCAAAATCATACCAGCTCTGCAGAACTGCTTCTATGCCTGCTATGAAAGGAATTACAACAAATTTCTAACTAAATTACAATGAGGATACATAAAAGAATTAATTTCTCTCAGCTTTCACTTTGGCATCACTCAGAAACTAAACCTAAATTTGTGGGGAAAGGGGAAGTGTTACTATTTATTTTGTTAAAATAGTCATTTTAGGGTGGTTTTGAGTAGAAACAGTTAACAGACGTGTGCATACTGACCAAAACCCACACTCAGAATTGACCAGAAGGGGTACCATCCAGCTCTGTCCTGGAAGCTCTTTAGCAACACCAATATGGCATGCTTCCCTGATGCTTAGCAGGGTTTGTTCATTTGGGCGCAACACTTCTCTAATGAAGCTATATAGCTTTTGTACCAGAGCTGGCCGTCAGCCAGTCAGCTTCCAGTTTGGCAGAGGAGCTTCAGCCTTTTTCCGTGTTTTTGCATTTATCCATCAAAAGATAATTTGCAGCTTCTGTCCTAAATAATGATAGAACTGTCTCTTCTTCCATCAAACCAGGTTAAGTTATTGCATGATTTTAAAAGGTACTATTAAGCAGTGTTTCCTCCCATGGAAAAATTGGGCTCTGCTTGCACCCGTCTGTGAAGACATGCCCATTAGCTTCCAGGCACCAAAGGCTGGCCAAAATGCTAACAGGCAAAACTGACGTGTAAAAGTACACACGAAGCCAAAATACAATAGCAAGCAAAAATACCAGGGCTGCTTCTGACTTGGTAAAGGGAGGTTCCTATCTTGGAGATCATCTGTTGCTTCAGGACATGATGTAGTTCTGACAACATTTTTCACAGAAGAAACATGATTTTACAGGTCAACAAAGTGCTTCCAAAATCAAGCCAGTCATGCAACACCATTCTCTGTGTGGCTCTACAAAGCTCTGCATTTATTTCCATTGTGCATAAATTTGATATTACAGCATAACTGTCTACATTTACTGGCTAGATACAGATATATTCACCTGAACAAAAGCTATAGGAAACTGCACCATTGTATGCTTACCTTTCTCTGCCAACATCTACAACAAAAAAAGATCCAGTCCAATCGCTTTTAAGTAACACCCATTGTACCTCATCAGTCTATGACATGATTCAACCTTGTCCTCAGTTGATTAGTTTCACTAATGTTTGATAATGTCCAAAACTGATGTCTTAGACCAGACCTGTACTTGCAAGTTCTTTTGCTCTCAAAGCTTGTCCTTTCTCATGTGAACTAGACAAAACTACGCCAGCATACCACCGGGCTCTTGGGGAGGCTCAGCACCCATTGGTAAATTCTGCAGCACACACAGGCCCTACCTAACCACTGAAAAGCACCCTGTTTTACAAACCTGGAAGATTAAATATTTCTTTGAACACTAAAAGCAGCCCAAAGGCTTATATTTACATAGCATGTAATTGCTAGTGTTGTGCAATTTGACCACAGGGACTTTACTAGGCTTCCACCACAGCAAATATTGTATAGCAACCTTGTAAAAACACTTTCCTGCATGCTCTCATTCTATCTTAAAAGTTATCTTTTGTTCCTCCCCCTAGAAAAGTTTGTCACTTCGTACAACTTATTGCCTTGAGGCTAATAAGAGGTAAAATTCTTCATCCTAGATGATAGGAAAAGCAGCAAGGGGCTGAAAGATACCAGAAAAAAAAATATTTCAAACAGTAAGTTTAGGTCAGCCATTAAAGAAAACCGGTTCATTCTAACTTACTGGAAGCCTGAACAAGCATCTTAAACAGCATCTGTTAGGAACGGCATCAGCACAGGGAATCTGCTAGATGGCCTGTAAAGGCCCCCTCTAGACCTGTTTTTTGTGATCTTGCAATGAAGAAGGGCAAAGACCACATTAAGCAATCTCTAGGAGAGCTTCAAGAGACCTGAGAAGCCTCTAATCTATCTTCCAGTTTATCTTGTTCTTCTCTTTGAGTGAGGAATGTTAATTAAAATATCCTAAGGAATTTGGACAGCAATTACAAACCTTTACAATAGCCAGCCTCCGCAGCCCACTTAAAATGTGAAATGTTGTTTTTATGTTGTGCTTTGCGTCTTTCAGGGATTAAACTACTTTTCAGACTATGTTCCCATTTCAGCATGTATCTTATTTACTTTTATTATCATCACTAGCTGAAAGCATTTGATTACCTAGTAGTTTTACAATAGGGAGGCAGAACAGCCTCTTTATCCAATCTGACAAGAAAATTTGGGGGCTACAGAGGAGCAAATACCGGACATCATTTCAAGCGTGCAAAAAGGCTCACAGAAATTGCTTGTGCCCTATCACGTACAGCAGAGCACCCCCCTGTTCTCCACTAGTCCCCATCAGCAGGACTGCCACTGGGAAGAAGCTTCCCCTGATATGAATCACTACAGGGTCACTCACAGGAACATGAGTGACGCCCAGGAACTTTTCCCCAGGATGCTGAAAAAACTTTGGTCTATACAGATGTTAGTTTTTTTACTTGGAATGATAAAAACAGTGTTAGTTTGCTGGGATTTGAACATCCAGTTGCCAGGTAGCAGACAGTGGAAGTCATGTCCAGATCCCTAAACAAGATGATGCTGAAAGGAAGCTGTTGCTACAAGGCTGATGAAGGGTCTCCACAATAAAAAAAAAAAAATGCAGAAGAGGGATATTACTTCCCTTTATCTTCCTTCAGAAATATTCCAATATGCAAAAAATATTTCTTAGTTTTACTGGATATTACTCCTCAAACACAGATTCAACTAAGAGCTTATCTTGTCAAGAGAAGAAAGTACTCTGGCAAACAGCACATTTTCATCTTGTCTGAAAGGGAAAGTTTCTAGAAAAACTTGATGGAGAAAACTTTTCCCTCCCCTGCAAAAAATAATCACCCAGTACAAAGAACTACTGCAAACAATAATAAAAAAACCTCCCCCCCCCAACCATAAAACATGTCTTCCTGTTTGCTTTCCTTGTACAGGCAGAGATGCTGATGCAATCTCTCCTCTTGAAAAAGGAAACGCCTCTATCTCAGTCTGCATCTTTATCCCCCTCAGCAGCTTGACTAAGCAGATTAAAAGCAGAGACAAGTGCACACCGAAGCAGCATTAAAGCTGTAACAAAAACCAACCGCCAGTTCAACGGGAAAGGGAAGTAGAGTCTGCTGCAACTGCTTAGAAACTAAAATAGGCTGGAGGAAAGCAAGCACGCACACCAGGTACACTGTAGGTAGGTAACTTCTAGCACCTACAAGGATGCAAAGGATCCAGCACCATCCTCAGCCTGTTGTCAGTCTCCCTGGGCTCTGTTGGAAGACAGAGATGACAGCTTCTCCATAGCACCCTGTCACCCTCCACTTTCGTTCCTTCCCCCTTGCCTTCCTCACCCCAAAAAAAGAACAGCTGACGGCTTCTTCCATCACACCCACTGACAAGGTGAATCTGAAACGTGGCAACTGCCAGCCCTTGCCAAGGCACAGTCAATTGAAGCAGGAACCCAATATTTGTATTTGGGGATCAAAGGAAACTACTCAGCCAATTAAAATATTCTACAAACAAAAGCAAGCAAGAAAGGAAAAGAGCAACGGCGTGATCATACTGAGAAACCTGCATTTTAAATGAGGAAGACTCAATATTAAATCATTTTTTTTTCATAGGTAACATTTTGAAACTGTACTACTATTCTTATCTGTTACTACACAGAGCTAGACAAGCAGTTAAAAAAAGAAAAAGCACAACTTTTCCTGATACTTCTCTTGCTAGCCAGCTACCCTGATCACGTGGGAGACATTCAACTCTGCCTGAAAAATAACCAGTAAGATATTGCATAAAAGGATAAAAATACTTTGTTGCTCATCTTGGTTATTTATCACAAAAGAAGACTAAGTATAAAAGACTTAGAGAAGAAAAAAAAAAAAAAAGACATTATGGAAAAACCACAAAAGTGAAGAGCGCTGCATTATGGTGATGAGCTCTTGCAAAAGGAAGACAAAACAATGCTCCAAAATTTAGGTCCTCTGACTTGTTTCCTCCAGAGCCTATGTGGGGACCCAGCACTTCACATCAGCAGGGAAACAGATGAGTAGCAATAGCTCTTGTTAGAAACGCACTTAGCACACACTGAAAAATGGTGGAAAAGAACTGATCAAACAATAGGGTATATCATAATTTCACTTATCATGTAAATACTATCCATCACTTGTCCCATAGAATTGTTAAATCTATTTCCTTGAACTTCTTCAAACCAGGCTGTCTAGGAAAATTGCAACGGTTCCCTGCAGTCTACAAACCTAAACACAGTTGCCAGTTAAAGGCCACAGCAACCACTTCAAAAAATGATGACCAGTTTCTGCGCCAGCTTTAGCAGGCTGAATATTCAGGAGGTGCTGAATGAATGCTCTCAGGTGTGCTGAAGTAACGACTTAAATCTCACAGGCCACATTTGAAAGTACAGCTTATCTATCAGTATTCGCTAAAAAACTCAACTGACTTGTAAGGACACAAACAGAGAAAGCCATGGTAAGGACTTCAGCTTCGTAAAGGTTATTTTTAGCTTTGTAATTCAGGAGTACTTTATAAGTACCAAGAAGTCAGACTTAAGGTAGCAGTAAACCAGACTTCTGAGGGAAGTTTACACTGCTGCAGCCTTAGCTAAGGCTTTGAATGATACTTGGAAAAAAAAAAATAAAAAAAAATTAGGAAGAGGTATAGTGCTTAGGGTATCAACTGCATAAGCTGCTACACTGAGCTCCCAACAACTCAACTCCTCAGTGGCATGATCACCCTTCCCTTTTCTGCAACAAGTCCAGCATTGCCTAAAGATATTTTATACCAGGGTTTGCAATACTGTGCTTCCAGCAGCACTGTAATAGTCATCTTTGTTCAATCCACCAGAGGAATCCACTCGCCATCTGCCTAATGCAGGACACACCTTTAACATGACATGAAATGATTCAGGATGTGTGAAAATTTCATCCATGGCACAAGGTGGACTGTCACAGAAACTCAGTTAATACTTTGCGGTGTCTAAATAATAATTTTTTTTTTGCTTTGAAACCTCCAAGTTTGAGGCTAAAAAGCACGCTAGAAATTACTGAGCACACATTATTAAGTTTACAGGAACTCAGTGCATTAGCTTTACAAGTAATTTTGTAACAATACAATTGCACTGCAAACCACCCTCACATGCACTGTAAGCAACGGAAATGTTTTACACAGAAATAGAAGGTAAGAAGCACCAAGAATATCTGCTAACCTGATGGGGCCAACTTTAAGGCTTTTATAAGCCTCACAGTACCTCAAACTTCTCAAAAATCTCAACTCTTGGGAAACTGAACATCTCAGCTTGCTTTTGAAGCCAGGCAGTAGTTTCAGAAACAGCACAAACCAGTTCTGCCAACAAATGAAGCAGTCCTCCCTTCTCACCCCACTCGGCAGCTCATTCCTGCCTCTGTGCCTCCCCCCTTTCTGCGGGTGCAAGCCCTGAAGGGAATCACAATTAGGAGCAGATCCATTTTAGCTTTCAGCCATGCTGAATCTACATCCATTCATGCCCGAATCCCGTTTACCTGCAGCTGCGCAAATGTTTGCTCCAGGACCAAGGGGTACAGAGGCTAAAAACCACATGTTTCTTTCAGCAGCTGTTAAAAATGATTCATGAAATGATGGCCTGTATTTGCAGACAGAGGAAAGTTTGAGAACTTCTCCCCAGTTCACCCTAAAGGCAAATACTGTTTGGGAGACAATTAGTGCTTTCCCTCCTCAATTTTACTCAGGTGTGACTCCAGATATTTCAGCACAAGGCTTAATATACTGGTTGCAGGTGCTTCAGTAGTACAAACAATACTAACTGGGGCAAAGAGCCTTGTCCTGTACCCAAAGCAGGCACAGGGGATTTGCTCTCAGCTTCACTGAAAATTTGATTCAAACAAAAGATAACTGAACTGAAAAATGCCCAGGGTACACAAGTGTATCAAAACCCCATCTTCATACTCAGCATGTACCACATGTCAATCCACATTTACATTGCATCAACACTGGTCAGGCACTTCAGAACTTCTGTGTAAATATCAAACGCTGCAGCTCTCTGCCAAGGCAAACTTGCATACAAATGTAATTTAAAGTTTTAAGAGTTTTTGTAATAATTTTAAAAATCATACAAATGTGTGCAGCTCTTTGTCCCAGGTACCAAGTTATCTACGTACACTGGTTGTGAGTGTGATACTGTCTTCAAACCGACAGATCTGTTCTGCTAACTCAATAGCCAAGACCTATACTTCTGGATCCTGATGCAGGACAGACATGTGAAGCATCAGCACCCTCTCACCAAAATGGAAATCATGTAACTCATTTACTGTATAATATAGACAACAAGGAGAAAGCTGCATAGCGAGGCATTGTCACTTACGTGGTTTATATAGAGACTCTTGCGTTTTTCTCTCACTGCAAAAACACAAAATATGATAGAAATATTACATGACTATTTTTCCCGATTAAACTTCTTACATACCATTTATAATAAAAAGAACAGGAGGCTGTCTATGTGCAACATTATAATTGCTTTTGCACTAACCAAGTATATTTATATATCAAACACAAAAGGAACATATATCCGTATGCATAAAGGCATTTATGCTCACTAGTGTGGTGATGGAGTAAAATTCTCATCCATTTGGGTACTTCACCAGGCGTTGGTCCGCATGGGAAAGTTAATATGCAGTAAGCTACAGCCCAAGTTAGCAATGGATTAGCCATCCTTCACCAGTTCTCTGCATGGATACTCCTGAGCCACCAGTGCCTTCATGCAAGGTACCTTCCTGAAAAGTGACCTACACTACACCTTGCAGGTATGAAAGCACCTAAATAGCCACACCACGGAGTTAGCAAATTCTCATCATAGCTTACTGTGCACTAACTCCCACAGAGGAGCCTTGAAACTATATGCATTACACCACTGCCTTCTATAATGATCAGGTGCAAGCCTGAAACTATTACTCATGTCAGATATAACAATGTAAATATATTACTTCGGTGAGTATGAACCAGTCACCACAAGCAAGGGTTGCATGTCAAAGCCACAATTAGTCAAAATACTCAGAAAGTAAACAGCAACAACAAGGGAGATAGATGTATAGAGTCTTAATTGTCAGGGAAATGCCTATTACAGCTGATTGAGTATACGCTATTTAATTTTTTTAAAGCACTTTCCCAATTAACTCACCCCAGAGAGAGCCTGTGGAGCTCTGTTCCAGTGAAAATTTAGGATACAAGTCTGGAGGCAACTAACAGATAAATCAAACTGCAGGATTAAAATAATAATGATTTCATGCTGTAGGTGATTAAATGCACTTCGGTGCACCATGATTTGAAAGCTATGCAACCCAATGCACTTCGCAAAATAAGAGCGTTTATAATGGTGGGATAGCCTGTCCATTCCCTGTTGGATGAGAAGCCATTTTTTGTGATTTTTTTTATAAGCAAGCAATCTCACAGAAACAAGGCTGTATGTGTGAATACTGTGAAGTAATTGTGTTTAATGCAGACATAAAATGAAAAGAAAATAAGAAAAAACTTTTAAAAATCCTTACATAATTTTCCTCCCAGGGAGCAGAAAGGAGAATCACACATGACAGATGTTAGCTATGTCACTTAGTACATGCTCAGATCCACAATTACGGACATTGTATAAGAAACAGAATTAAACAGGAACAGCAGGAAATTTCTGATCGTCTAGTATATAGTTAAGCTGATCGAAGTCTTGCTAAAACACTGCACTACACTTAAGTTCTACACACTGCATTTATCACCAACAAGGGACATAAGTAACCTAAACAGAAACAACAAAATGATGGTAGATGCTCACTTCTAAGAACAGCCAAAGTATTTCTAGTGTTGCGTATTGCAATGTACAGGCAGTAAACAATTCTGGTAAGCTGCATGTAAACCTAATAGAATACATAACTGAAAATTAACACCTATTAACTGCAAAATTTTGAACACAGTTAAGTATTGGAACAGGTTTTTTAATCACAAACAATTATACCACACACAAAATCCTATAAAGTCAGCCTGCACATACACTCCAAATCTCATCTTAACCACCTTTTTTCCACTACCTCAGTTTTTCTCTTCTGTATTTTCCCCTGTATTTGTTATTCAATTCCCCATGAAAGTACAATCATTTATTTACCAAAGCAAGAATATCAGTCACAGCTCATTCCCATTTGCTATTTCCAATCTCCAGAAGGTATTAACGTATTTATACGCACCCCTCACTTCTCCCTGCTCAAGCGCTGCTTGTGCTGCACATTCTTCTAAGCACCTTGCTGACCTCCTTTCCCCTATTTTCCCCACAGAACAGAAATTCAGTTAGCCTGGATTCTCTGGTGAGGGGCTTACAAGGCTGTGCTTTTGTGCTTCCGGCCCTCTCTGCCACAGCGAAGGACCAACTCTTTCCAGAACATATGCCAACAGGGAATCGGGCATAGCAGAAACCCATTCTGTCACAACCACTCTCTCTTGTGATCACAACCTTCCCTTGAAACAAGGGAAAGACAATTGCCACACAAGGCAAAAGGATACTTCTGCCAAGCTAAAATGACTGTAAAGAGGCAATTCCATCACTTGGCTTCAGTCAGTTTAAAGATGCTTTGCACTGTTCATACAGCACAGTATGGTCTTCATCAGATCAGACTGTAGTGTTATAATTAATATTTATTTTGCAGCATAAACTCCTAACTACAACTTCAGGCTTTTGGCTTTCAAGTATGAGGTTTTGACAAAATGAAGCTGAACACATTTAAAGTCAGTTTAAACAATCAAACTTCTAGTTTCTAACATGTTAAAACTTGAAAGTTGGAATGGAACTTTTCAAGTGGAGACTGAGATCCTGCCAAATTGTCATAGTTTTCATTTCAAGGTCAATGACCTGTTCCTTTTTCTGTAGGCACTTTCAACTGTTATTGTTGAACTTTGGCAATAGTAGGAAAATATATTATCATGAAATAAAAGTGAGGAAACACGCACACACATATGTGTGTCTGGGTATCCACATGTACGTATGCATTTTTCATTGAGCTATAATAGAAACTTTGCCCAATTTCTATAGACTTTCTTAATGCCACCCATCTCAGGATCGAAGACAAATATCCTTGAGGATTACATGAATAAAAACATCTCATGTTTTGGGAGTTTGTAAATAATTTCTTTTTGTTTTATCCAAGACAGGAGACTGTTCTAGTTAACATTAAAGAGTAAGTACAGCTTACTTTACTTCTATCCACTATATAAATAAAATTTCAAAATCCTCTTTGTCTGAAGCCCATTGTTGCACTGATACTGCAAAATTTAGCCAGTACATTGAATGTGTAAAGCCTAATATAAGTTAGGAGAGGTGGACAGCTGTAACCTACTTACATGAAAGAACATTACCAACACCCTGAAGTAGCAACATTTGTGCTCTTGCTATTATAAGGAAAGGAAGTTACATTATTGGAGAGCTAAGGTTTGGAAATCCTAGCTTAACCACAACCACACATTAAATAGTGCATAGCTTTTCAGTCACCTAGACCATTCTGCTTACAGGACAAACTCAGCAACCAAGGGAGAACTTGCATAAAGCATCCACAGAAATTATAGACATACAACTTGATATTCTTTATTAGCTCCCTAAACAGGAAGAATTACTCATGTAAGATTCAGCACCTAGAAAATTCCCACAAAGAGTTGGAAACATTTAGAAAAGCTACTTCAGTTAGGAATCAAACTAATATTTATTGTGTCTTCAAGTTTTCTGCAGATTCATTGAACTTTCAGGTAATTAAGGATGCATTCAGACTACTGACTAAGCGGGACAGGACAGATTTAGATGCTCAGCATGACATCCAAGCTTCACAGAACAATGGGAAATTCAGACCATGTAATATCCAGAGATGCCACATCCTGTCTCATTATATTCAGGATAGTCAGCTTGTTGCTCTTCACTCACACTTTAATCACAAGCAGCTCTAGCATCGCTCCTGTGCCAGGACAGTACTGCAAGATTACTAGTGAGGCTGAAGAGTACAGGGTTATGAGAAATTCAAACATGGAGCTGCCTGAAGGTAACGTTGCCAAGTCACTCTAGCATGTAGTGATGGACTTGGCCATTTCCCACTGTACAAACATGCGATGTACACTCAAGAGTCACATCCAGATGCTGGATGAAACCTTGAGTCCTGATGCCCCTCAACTCTCCAATATGTGCATTTAAATGTCTGCAGGTAATAATTTCACTTACAGTCAACAGGAAGGTTTGCCAGCCCAATACTATACCAGTAATGGAAAGGGATAGTTACATGCCCAAGTTAGGTGTTTTCAACATTGCCAGCTCAGTTCTCCCCTTCTGCATTGTCTTAAGAAGTCTTGGGGGTCCCCTGGACTCCAGAGCAGGCTGTAAGAATACAAGCCTACGCACCCTAAAAACACCTTCTATTTTCCCCTTAACAAGCATTTTATTGCATTTTGGTGTTAGGCAACATCCTTGAAGAGTGTGGTAACTCCTTCAGCTCATGTGGTTCCACAACGGGCCCAAAGTACAGCCAAACAAAATGCTTACCGCTATGAGTTGTCTCACCAGAACGGGATGGTTCTTGGCAATACATCAGTACATAAATGTTTGCAGAACCTTTTTTCTTTTGTACAAGCAGAATAGCCTTTGGAATTTTTTCCACCATGATCAAGGATAGCTGAACAGATCTTATGCACTTGTTGATAATGTTTCTATATTGTTTCACTGAATTCATTGTTCTCACTCCAAAATATGTTCTTCATATTACTTAAACTAGAGCAAAGTTTCATAGGCCAATTCCAGCATGGGTGTAAACTCTCATTTTAAAAAATGCTTACAGTTAACTCCATATTGCAATAAATTAACCACTATTACTACAAGTAAGTATAATCATCAGGTCTGGTCAAAATTTTAGTTGTTGGACTTGGGATTTTTTTTTTTGTTCCTTTCTTTCAATAAGCTGTAACAAGAAACAGGTAGCATTCATATGGGATTATACAGTCTCAAAACACTATAAAAACACTATAAAATAAGACATCAATCTTCATAATACAGTGTACTATGGAAATATTATCACATTCATTTCACAGACTACCAAACCAGATTAGAACGGTAAATCACACCCAAAACCACATAATAAGGCATTGACAGAACCAGGGCTGAATTCAAAAGGACAAGCTGAAGGGCAAGAGGTACTCGCCACTCTTCAATCAGGGCCTAAATGTATATCCTCTTTAAATGTATATCCTCTTTGTTCTACTCATGCTCAAAAATCAGCAAAAAATTTACAGTAAGCGAAAACTACGTTACTTTTAAGTGATTTGTTTGACACTGCAATTTACTATGTAAATCGAAAACAGCATTTATAGGCAGGAGAAAGAAGGACAAAGAATTCATACTGAACAGTTAGAATTACAATGTAGAAACTGCTTTGAAAGCGTTGGTAGAAAATAATGTGTTTTGCATTGATTATTCATCGACATTGAAAACAACATGTCATACATGTCCAACAGGGAATGAAAGAGCCAGAATAAATGGCTTCTATTCTACCAACTCTATCAAGAGGATTGCTTAACAGATGTAATTCCAGAGGGATCATTTTGTGTATGAATAAAAAAATACTCCAGACAAATATATGATTCTATCAAACCCATGATGAGAGAAGAAAAAGAAAACATTTGGGTGGGATGGGGGTTGATTTGCAATTAAAATCTAGCACAAAGCTCATTTACAGTATTGGCTATATTTGGAGAAAACTCTGGACTGTCTTCTTAGCTAATATTAACTGGCATTTTCTCAAGAAAATACTCCCCACACATTTCCCAGAAGCTTGGCCTAATATTCAGAGTTTAAAAAAAAAAAACCAACCCACAGGTACATAGAAAATTTTGGATTTAAGGAAAATATTTTTATAATATAATTATATCAAGCTTTATCCATATTTGTAGTTCTGATACACTGACTACTTAGAGCTTACAATTTCAGGACACGACAGGACTCAAACCTGTACCTTCTACTACGGGTCTGACAAAATAATTAACTAAAGGTGTGACTTCTTTCAACTCTAACACGATGCCTATAAAAGCCTCTTCTTTTGGGAGTGGAATTACACATTAAAAGACTATTACATGCATTCTAACAAAGGGTTTAGAGATAACTGCAATAGCAAATACTGTAATAAATTCAGTAACCTACCATCTGTTTGTGATTTACTGAGAAATATCGTACTGGCCCGTGGATGATCTGATGGATTGAATTCCATGTTCAAATCTGGAAAGAAAGAAAGAAAAGCACAAAAACATTTACGATTATCCAATGCTATACACAGATTTTCTCATTCTTTTTAATAAAACCAAGTTTACATATTTAAGCAGCTATTGTAAACAAAATCCATCTTGAGGTCCAGTTTTTTATCCTTCTTCACACAAGTGGCTCTTTTTGGCATGCAAATCATTTGCATCAACACAGCTTTGGGATTAGACTCCAGTTCTAAGGGCTGCTTTTGGATTAAAACAGATAAAGCATCTTGAGAAGTCTGTACACAAGAAGTCAGGAATTATCCATTTACCATCAGTTTCTTCCCACCATGCCCCAAAGCCATTGCTAAGCACAGGAACACAACTTGTTCTATGTAATTGTAGAAGAATTAAGTATTATAAAACAAATACGTAACCCTCTGTAGATAGATGAGTTTCCAGGATTAGATGGGATTAAAATCAGTAGTTATTGCAGCTGAATGTAAACAGAGTGTTTTAAATGGTCAAGATTATGAAAACTTGGAACTTTCCTGATACTTCACAGATGAACACATTCCTTGCTGTGACAACTTCCATAAAAACCCCAAAAAAATGAAACCAAATGAGTCCTAAAAAACACCTACCATGTTAAAGATTTGAATTTATCATAGCATATACAAACTTCAATGAATATTATTTTCCCCTGTAAAGGTTAAAATCCATTGAATTTACTTGTTCTCAAATTCCACTACACTACCAATTTGTCAAAACTCTTATATGCCTGCATCCACTTGAAAGTACGCTAATAAAAATAGCACATCATTTTTTTTTCTCTCCCAGTGTGCCTGTCTCAACCTTAACTCTCTTATAGTCTCTTGATCTCTATAGATATACATTCTCTTGCACTTGATGGAGGCATTTATGTAAGACTAAATATGAGCACTGATACGTTTATCTTCTGTGATTATCCCAGACTTTCTAAATTTCTCTCACTCCCCCTTCATACCCCTGTGAAAGCTCAGCACAATTGGAAATTAAGCCCCATGTCTTACGAAAACAAAACAAAGTCTTCTTGCCCAGGGGTCAAGTTCTCCTCTCTACAGCTTTCCCTATTCCTTCACCATCTATCACCATACTTTCTTCTTTTCCCTTTTATTTACTAATTTACTAGAGCTTCCACTTGCCTGCTTTTTTCTCCTGACCACATGCTCTATACAACTGTAGTTTCTATTTGTATTTTCTCCCCTCTATGCTCTCTTGGTTTCCTTTCCATCTCCCTGCATTCTGCAGCCCAAGAGATGAGCAAACTGACATGCTGCTGCTACCTGGACATAACTTCTAGAATAAACAAAGATGATTATTAAGGGGGTGGAATATCTCCCTTATGATGAAAGGCTGAGGGAGCTGGGTCTCTTTAGCTTGGAGAAGAGGTGACTGAGGGGTGACCTCATTAATGTTTATAAATACGTAAAGGGTGAGTGTCAGGAGGATGGAGCCGGGCTCTTCTAGGTGATGTCCAATGACAGGACAAGGGGCAACGGGTGCAAGCTGGAGCACAGGAGGTTCCACATTAACATCAGGAAAAACTTTTTCACTGTGAGGGTGTCAGAGCCCTGGAACAGGCTGCCCAGAGAGGTTGGGGAGTCTCCTGCTCGTGAGACATTCAAAACCCGCCTGGACGCGTTCCTGTGTGATCTACTCTAGGTGGTCCTGCCCTGGCAGGGGGGTTGGACTAGATTATCTTTCAAGGTCCTTTCCAACCCCTAATATTCTGTGATTCTTTCTTACGAGGAAGAACCTAGAAACACAGAAGAGCAATTCTGCAGTTGGAAAGGGGGCTTATTGTTATTACCATCAAAGCCACAATTAAAAAAAAAAAAAAAAGGAATTTCAAGGGAAACTCATTTTGATTCTCCCAGAAACTATGCTTTGCAGCCAGGTTTGGAGAAGATTCTAGGAATGTCATCTTACTACTAGGAGTTCTGACTCAAAAGGACTGTGAATTAGGAAGACTGTTTTCCTGTTACTTCCTGCATCTTATTCAGACATAGAGAAGCAGAAGAAAAAAAAAATCATCCATCGAGATAGATAGTGCTGGTAAAGATTGTTTTCCATTTCAGGATATTTTTTCCATTAAGCTGAATTCAAGATGCAATTTGTTCAGTAATGGGAAAATACATTGTCTTTTATTATCCTCTTAATCTTTTATCAAACAGCACAATACATCACCATAAACAAAAAATGCCTTTTTTATTTTAAACCACTACAGACAATTTTTCTACAAATCTTTTAAAGTACAGAATGCAAATTCAGTCAACAAAATAGGACCAGCAACATGAAACTGAACTCAACTTACAAAACGCTGTCCCTAAACAGACAAGCATGCCTTTCCTTCAAGCCTAGAAAATTATCTGCTTGTGAAGTAATAACAATCTGGTACAGGCGTACAGTCTGCTTGCAGGGCTGAAAAGAAGGGAAAACCAATGGCCACATCTTGCCATCAAGTTGAAACTATTTAAGATTCCTGTTTTATAAAAGGCTATTATGCAGAAGCAGTAAACTGGAGAAGTTAAAGTCTTTCTGAAAAAAAAGCATGAACTACCAAAAAAAAGCACTGGCTCCCAGATAGTTATTCTTCTGACAGGAGCTGAAAGAAGGACAGCAAAATCCAGTCTCAGCAGCTGCAGAGGCCAGACCAGGGATTTTGAACCATCTTGGGAGATGCAGCTGCCCACTGCCAGGCAGTGGCTGTGGTTCCTTCCCGCCACTGAACCCCACAAAGCACCATGTGTGTTCTCTCCACATCCCTTCTCTCGCATCCTCCCCCAACAACAGCAGCCATCAAACATATCCATCTGTCTTTCTCAAACTGCCTGCACAAAAATCAGAGGAGAACATGGGTACAGGGAGCAGCAAAGCCTGCCAGGGCAGGTTGCCCTGCACAAGGTGGCCAGAAGACAACAACTGCTGCAGAGAGAGGCTGGCTCCCCACCTCCCTTTGAGGTACAACATACGTCTTGTGGGCTTGCAGGCAGAAGAAAGTGCTGTTTGGTGTGTACCTGCAAGTCGATCACTCCCAGCTCCTCCAGAGAAAAGTATCAGGCAAATCGGAGCATCCCACAGGCCACCTGTGGAACCACATCACTCAGGCCACCACCACTGCATACAGGAGCATTAGAATGGATGAAGCTTCATAATGTGCAAGTAAGATTTCAGTCTCCATTGATCTTAGATGTCTTAATTTATTGTACAACTTGAAAACAAATGCCTTTATTAATATAGCACCAAATTCTTACAAATCTGTCACTAGAAACCATGTTACAGAAGAAAGAGATCAAATGATATACAAATATCTGAAGCTAGTAACTCATTACCAAAGGGCATTATCCATCAAAATGTTACCTCCATCATAAAGAAAATAATATATTCACAGTGCTTTAGTGTTACCAGTAGTTCTTTCTAGCATTTGAAAAGCATCATGAAGCCAGCCATAATATGAAAGGTTTACCCATTTTATAATGGAACAGTCAAAGATAAAGAGAGATATAAAGTCACACAAGCAATACTCTACTATTCCAAAGAGAGGAAAATGAGAGCCAGAATTTCAATTACTGAAATCTGCATATAAAATTTTTCCATTGCTAACAGTCTGCTCTGTGCCTTATCATAGTCCTACAAAGGAAAGATATAAAGTGGGTATTTCTTCCAACAGTTACCCTGCACTCCACACTCAGCTTTTAAGAAGAAGTCACTATCTTATACACAGTCTAAAGCAAGAATCTTTCACTGTATACGTTCTTTCTAGTTAAACAGATATGGAATATTTTCCTACAAAGATGACATTTTCTTTTTTTTTTCAGTACTAAAGGACTGTTAAGTTACGCAAAATAAAACTCCCATCCTGTAAACACCTAAACAGTGTGATACTCCATGAATATTTCAGGGTTTTGTCTTCTCAGGATTAGGAACCAAAAGGTGTTTGTCTATAAATACATGTATACATATACATGCATATATCTATATAGATACATATTTAAATCAACATAATTTTTGGTTAGCCAACGCAAAGTCAGCCTCAGGTGCACTTCAGCTAAGAGATCATGTGTCTAACAGTTCACACAATTTTGGATGATTTGGACAAGACCAGAGTTACAACTGCACGTAAATATACTTAAGACTGCACTCCCTTAGTAGCATGCCAAAATAACAGTTAGTGTAATGCGCATTCTGATTTATTATGTCAAAATAAATACACTCTCTCACAAAGAAAAAAAAAGCAAGCAGAATTTGCATGCAACAATTTGGTACATAACTGTACTAAAGTTTAAGACTAAAGTTTAAGACAACCAGCAGAATGAGATTCACCCTGTACGTTGTGAGAAACTTAGTTCCTAAAGCCACAGTAGCTGCATTCCAATATAGCCATAAAAAGCAGCGAACTGTAAAACAGTTCAGTTTCAGACTTGGGCTAAAGCCCAAGTAAGATTTTAAATCTCAAAACAAGATCTTAAAAAGCATTACTGAGAATGAAAATACTGGATACAGCCTCAGTTTGCACTTTTTAAAAGGAAAAGAATAAAGTTCAGATGTGTATAGAAGAGAGTACAAGAATGACAAGGACTGCAGAAAATGTCTTCAGATGAGAGTCTGAGTTCAAACTGTTTAGCTGATGAAAAAGGGAAACCAGGGAGATGTCTGTAGTTGACATGTATCTTCACAGAGGGAGAAGGATAAGTACGAAAAGCTCTCTGTAATGTAGCACACAACATAATGAAGACAGTGGAAAATGTAAGCAGGAAGATCTTGATTATGAACTTGGAAAAAAATAAGGGAGGATAATTAGGCACTGAAGCTCCACACTCAAGGAGCATGCACTCAACTTATTTTGATGTTTTCCCTTTCTAGAAGATTGCTTCAGCCAAACATCTTCAGGCTTTAGTCCAGCATGAGTATTTAGGCTCAATTTAAGAATAACTACATGCAAGTTACTGGCTTATGATTCATATGCAGGTCAGATCAGATGATC